GGAAGGGCGCGGGGCGCACAATCCGCCCGCGCTCCCGCCCCGCCGCCGCGCTCCCGAGCTCGTGCGGAAACCCTCGGGGCCTCCGCCTTCTCCCGCTCCGCGGCGGACCCTGCGAATTCGGTGGGACTTGCCTTCCTTTGGGGGAGTGACGCTTACGAGAGCCATTTCCTCCGTGCTCGCAGGAAGGAGCCATGGCTCTGGACGGGATAAGGATGCCAGATGGCTGCTACGCCGATGGGACGTGGGAACTGAGCGTCCATGTGACGGACCTGAACCGCGATGTCACCCTAAGAGTGACCGGGGAAGTGCACATTGGAGGGGTGATGCTCAAGTTGGTGGAAAAACTCGGTGAGTAGCATCCCAGCCGCGGCAAGATAACGACCTCCAGACTGAGGCTGCGGAGAGGGGGAGGCGGCTGGGGGAGGGGTGGATTTTGGAAATCCTGCTTGGAATCCCGCAAATACTTTGCAAAACTCAAAGGTCTTTCAGTGTTTCAGGAAACAGACTTTTTCACTTTTGTATCTTGTTTTACGTCGTTACTGTTTGAAAATTTCATAATGTAGTGATTCCAGCCTTCCAATTAATAAACTTAATTGCGTAAACAGTTAAAATTGCGAAAACGCTCTACTTCTTTGCATTCAGGGACTTCACGTTGAAAGAAATGAGAAAAGTGCGCGAGTGTATGTTGAAAGGGGGACGTTAACAGGGCTTGTGGTTATCAATAACTTGCCTTCAGTGTACCTGAATGTTGGCGACATCTGGTATTGAGAATGATGCAGAAATTCTTTGAAGTATAAACTGTACTGGAAAATGTGTAACTTCTGGTGCCAGTATGAAGGTTCTTATAGCTGTGCTACTACGTGATGGAGTGTATTAAAATGTTCCAGTCATCCACTCTTACGAGGGGTGGGGCAGTGTTTGACTATCTGTAGTCCTGCTTTAAATAAGCTATTTCGAGTGTTCAGTTGTATATTAACAAGCTCATAAAAGAATTTTGTGCTTAAAAAACAGGCATAATTAAACTAATTCAGGACTCAGTATTTGCTTGGGTACAAATGTATATACCACATTGATTTAAAACTGACAAGGTTGAAATACTAGGGTATCCAATAATAGGGACTGTAAGAAAATTCTGCTGTGCATATTTTGCTTGTTATGGAATTTTCAGTTTTAAAAATCAACTGAAATGTTTGTATAGATGATTTTATCACAAGAGAAATGCTCAGAGGTCCGACTTCCTGAGTTTAACATGCCTTTTGTATGTCTTGCAGTTCTGATAAGGTGAGGTGTGGCACTGCCTTTGGGGGGGGGGGAGGGGGTCTTTATTTAAACACAGTATTTATTCTTCAAGGCACTCTGGAAAATTAGAGAAGTGGTTATTTATCAGGAAACATATTTCTTAACTCAGGGATTGTTGTATACCTACCCTGTAAATTTAGGGTAATAGTGCCCCAATGGAATTTGCAAAATAAGGCCAAAATTCATTTAAGTGGACGTTCTTTGTATCTCTGCAGGAAGTTTAATTACTGAAGGACCTAAAAGAAGCTCCTTACCAGGTAGACTCTTCCTTAGGACTGTGCATTGTTGGGCTGAGACAGAGCCCAGGAAAGCGAGCCCCCCTGGGTAGTCCTTTGAGAGTGAGATTTTTGCCCTAGTGTTAATCCAATTAACTGTTGGTTAACATTTTCCTATCTGATTGACTGCATCAATCACTTTGTAAAATACTTGTGAATCTTTTTTGTCCAGCACTAGTGTGGGATAATTTAAGGAAGAAAATAACAAATATAATTAGTGTTTCCTTTGTTTTCAAAGGAAACAAGCATTTGTGTCAGATTGCTTATATATGATCAGTGGACCTTATTAATACGCTGGTTTCAATAAGAGATGTTTCTTATTATGAAAAAGGAGCTGTTGAAGGTGACTGAGACAGCTTACAGTTCTTGAAAGCCAGTCTTTTTCTGATGAATAAATAATGACTTCTATATTTATACTGCATTGATTAGAACTGTTTATTGCAGAATCACAGACATAGAGATATAGAGAATAAACTATTTGCAGACAGAACTGATGTTAATATTGACTATAATCTGAATCTTTTCATGTTGATACTTTTTAATTTTTTACGCAGTGAAAGAAGCCCAGCAAAGTGGGAAATGCTGTGTACGTGGAAACCTTTCATTTTTCTTGAACTGAACCAGTAGTGATCTGTTAACATTTTGACTTCCAAATAGAAAGTGCTTTTCATCATTATTCTGACTTATCTGTTTGGTAAAAGTGGAGCTAAATGATTTTTTGCTCCTGGTTTTAGGATTAGATTCTTTGAATGGTAAACTATTTTGTTACCTACTGGTACTGAGAAGAGGAGAAATTCAGTAGGGCAGGATCTAAAATTTACAAACCAGGTTAGTCAAATTAAAAAGGAACTTTCTTCAGAGTTGCTTAAAACTGCTGTGGCTTGCCTTTTGAAACATTGTGTCCCTGAAGGTTTTAAAGGGTGGACTGGGTGGACTTGTCAGCAACTACAGTAGATGAAAGCAGCTTGCAGAATCTAGATGATAAGAGGTGGATATGGCACAGGGTCATGAGTCTTGGGATTGCTGAGCAGAGATGGACATTTACCAGAATCCGACTTCTATGGCTTTGGAAGTTATGGTACCATAGAACAGAAGGTATTGCAGCTTTCACCAACATCTTCAGATCCCGGATGCCTGTCTGGTGTTCTTCTTACTCTCCTCAGAATCTGTATGAATACCAGAAGCATTAAGTTTTAAGGATTTCTTCCTGTGTAACCAGTAATAACAATTATTTCTATGGATTGATAGATTGTATGATGACTCCTCCCTTCAAAATTGTATTAAAATTCTGTATGTGGGGCTCCTGTCTGGTTCAGTCTGAAGAGTCAGTCTGGTTCAGTCTGAAGAGCGTGTGACTCTTGATCTTGGGGTCGTGGGTTCAAGCCCCATGCTGGGTGTAGAGATTATTTAAATAAATATTTTTTAAAAATAAAATAATAAAAATTTGTATGTGCACATATGGAGTATTTTGAGAAGAGGCTTTTTATTTTTTTTATATATTTTTTTAATGTTTATTTATTTTTGGAAGAGAGAGAGACAAAGCACGAGCAGGTGAGGGGCAGACAGAGAGGGAGACACAGAATTTGAAGCAGGCTCCAGGCTCTGAGCTGTCAGCACAGAGCCCGATGCGGGGCTTGAACTCACGGACTCCAAGATCATGACCTGAGCCGAAGTCAGATGCTTAACGAACTGAGCCACTCAGGCACCCCTAGAAGAGGCTTTTTAACTTCCATTAGATTCTCAACGAGGTCTGTGATCAGAAACAGATCATGACACAACTCCTGGGTTTGGCCCTTGAAGGTCAGTCAGCCTTATTGTGAAGGTATAGTGTTCAGCCCAAACTTAGGCACTTCAATTAAGCAAGCTAAAAAAAACTAAATAATGCTTCCTTAGTAGTATCGGCAACATTATTTTATTTACTTATTTATTTAAGTTTATTTATTTTGAGAGAGACTGGGGGAGAGGCAGAGAGAATCCCAAACAGGCCCCACATTGTCACTGTAGAGCCTGACATGGGGCTTGAACACATGAACCCCGAGATCATGACCTGAACTAAAACCAAGAGTCGCTGATTAACCGACGGAGCCACCCAGATGCCCCGACGTGGTTGGAATTTTATAAAGAACTTTCGCACTTAAGGTCATTAAACTATGATTTTTTTGGGGCGCCTGGGTGGCGCAGTCGGTTAAGCGTCTGACTTCAGCCAGGTCACGATCTCGCGCTCCGTGAGTTCGAGCCCCGCGTCGGGCTCTGGGCTGATGGCTCAGAGCCTGGAGCCTGTTTCTGATTCTGTGTCTCCCTCTCTCTCTGCCCCTCCCCTGTTCATGCTCTGTCTCTCTCTGTCCCAAAAATAAATAAAAAACGTTGAAGAAAAAATTAAAAAAAAAAAAAAACCTATGATTTTTTTGATGTCTGACTTTGATTCAAAGATCTGAAAAGCTTCTTTAAATCAGTGTAAAACTCATGTTATTCTGCACTGACCTTTTAAAAGAAAATAAAGAGTGTATGCTATGAAGAAGCGGGCTTTAGAGAATTCTATCCTGATGTCACAGAAAACTTTTTCTATCTATGACTTAGTTTAGGCTGATTTAGAGAAATAATCTCCACAGTGGTCCCCTCAATGTTTATACCTCATTCTGAAAATGAAGAATTGTTATTTTTACCTTATTATTTTTTAAAAATCTAGGTTGAAAGCTTCAAATAGAATTTTAAAAATTTATTGTACTTTTTGTTAAAAATAATTTTCAAACCTGTAGAGTGTTTTTTATTTTAAAGTCAGGAGTTAATAAGGGGTCCCTGACTGGCTCAGTCAGAAGAGCATGTGATTGTTGATCTCAAGGTTGTGAATTTGAGCCCCATGTTGGGTGTAGACATTACTTAAATAAATACAACTTACAAAAACAAAAAAGTAGAGTTAATATAAAGAACATCAGGGATAAGAATTATAAAAATAAGACATCAGAATAAAATGATAAGCTAATTGTATTCAAAACTAAGTTTTGTAAGGAAGAGGCCCAATTTTATGGGATTCCCTTATGTTCCTCTGCAGATCAAGAAATACTAAAACTGTTCTATTCAGTAGTACTCAGAACTTAGTATTGAGGATTCTAAATGCCAAAGAGCTGCTTTGTTTCACTGTGTTTCAGCATCACTTTATAAATGTCTTTTCTGAACTTTTTTTTTTCTTTTCTGGATTTCTGTCTACAAGTTTGTGAGTTCACGGGGCTCGAACTCACGAACTGAAAGAGCATGACCTGAGCTGAGGTCAAGATCAAGAGTCCGATGCTTAACCGACTGAGCCACCCAGACACCCCTAGATTGTGATTTCTGAGTTTCTTTTTGCTGTGAGTCTATGAGTAGGAAGAATGTAGAAGTGCGGTTAGATCAGGTTAAAATATAGAGAAAGAAAGTACAAATTGGTGGACTCAGGAATAACTAAAAAGAAATACATGGAGTTGACCTAGAAAGTTTAAGGAATGTTTCTGAATGTAGCCTTTAGAAAGAAGTCCTCCTTGCATTGAAGTGTGTTATGTTCTTGGTGTAAATAATAGTGTACATTTATGTTGGAGTTGCATGTTCAGATAGAGTTAAGTTGTGAAGTTAGTACATGTGACAAAAAAATAGATTTTAGTTAAAATAACCTTTGAAAATCTCTTAAAGTGGTTGTGAATTATGTTATACGTTTATTGTCTCCTAGAAGTACAAAGTAGCTAGTGTTTCCTTCAGAAACTTTAAAAATAAATTTCTTTAGCTGAGCACCAGGTGAAGAGTTGG